TCTAAAAAAATTAAAAAACAATAAAGAGATGTTTTGCAATAAGAATCATATTAGGGTTTAGTTTTCCATCCCCTTTATAAACAGATTTTAAAAATCTGAAATGAATGCCTATGTACAAGAAATGCTGAGTTCTGGTTAGGAATTGAAATCCCAGTTGAACTTCAGTCACAAGCAGTCAGTCACGCATAACAAAGGATGACTTTTTATGCAGTTTGTGCACCTGAAGAAAGACCCAGCTAGTTTAGCAGGGCTCCAATGGGCATCCTGAAAGAGATAGGGATGTACAACTCCATTGTTTCCATACTTATACCTCTCTGGCTGGATTAGGGCAAAAGTGATATTGATCCAAGACAATCCAACAAATGTAAAGACACAATACATACCCTTCTCCAGGAGAAAGACCTATTGAAAAATGAGTGTGAAGAAATGGTTTGCAGTAAATGCTATTTTAAGAATCCTTAAATAGTAAGCCTTTTTCATGTATAAAAACATAGGCCCATGTCATCTTGAGGGAAAATGCAATGGAAGGACATTCATCTAAGCATTTCCCTTGCTTTTGCAGGCCCTCTAGCATGTGACTGGTTGGTATGCCCAAGCACATAAGTGCACATGGCTGGGAGCCTGTTGGAGCAGGGTGAATGCAACTGCCTTTCCACTCTGTGCAATAGTCACATTATATTTTGAACATAAGGACACTTACTTCTGAGTAACAATGCAAAGGCTTGGGGTGAAGGTTTATTTAAAGGAGAGGGTGAGTATACATCATCACTCATTGTTCGATTGTGGCTCAAGTCTATGGATGCTGGGCATCAGGAGACCAAACTGAAGTATTTTTTCACAACTATGTCTTTCAGTGGAGTTTTAAAGTACATCATCATCTCTCTACCAATGAAATGAAGACGGCTTGAAAATGCTCAGTTGTGATTGGATCATGCCAACTTTATTTCCTACAAAAATAGATCCTATAAGGATGTGTGTAATAAGAGCTGCAGGGGCAGGTTCCAAAATAAAATAAAATGTCAAAATCTATTCTTGCTGCCCTTTTAAAAGGACTGGATGGATGGCTTTCTATGCTCCATAAGAGCATAATCAACATTCATATATTTGCCAGCCAGCACTAGCACTGTACTGTACATCAAGTTTCGTTAAACCACAATGCTGTTGCAATAACACTAAAAGTTGGGACCTTCCTGAAAATCTTCCATTTAGCACTGAAGAAGTTTATACTGTTGATTTAAGTTTATTATATGTGAGTGTGTACAGATGCAGATGTTAGTCTATCACATTGGACTACATTATGCATGTGGAGATTTCTGCTGCCTGAAATGTTTCTTGCAAACTCAAAGCTCCTGTTCCCAACATATCTTCCTAAGGAAATAAAATGAGCATATAGAATGAAATCTGGCATTGTCTTGTCTGACAACAGAATGGCCAGTATTGGTGGAATAGCCTCCCATTCCCACTATAGCACCGTTAGTGCACCCAACACTTGCTCTACACGGTTGAGTAACCATATGGGGTGTAACCAGTATTCAGATACAGATGGGAGAAGATCCCACTGCATGAGAAGACACTTGCCCAGCCAACATTGGCAGTCATACTGAAATTTTGTTCCATTTTCACCAGATTGCAACACACTGCCATTCTGTATGGGAATCTACAATGGTTAACCTAGCTAGAAATTGGTTATCCACATATTTAAACAGCAATCCCACCTCGGTTGTACGGCTGCACTGTTGGAAATTGTATGGCTTGGATGGAAGTTACACAGGTTTAAACAGTGATACAATGTTTAATATGCATTTTCTATTACACACCTTATATTAAATCTGAGGACAGAAACCAAAGGGTTAATGCAAATAATACTCTTAATAATCACAGATGCTCAGTGAGATTCCACAAGATCCTCATTCACTTCCAGCTGCTTTGGAAAGGAGGAGAAAAATGAGAGCAAACTGATGAACAGAAATGTCCAGTGGTCAAAGATGTAGCTCGGAAATAAGGAGGAGAATCTTTTGTTGATGAACAAGAACATGATGTTGTGAAGTACCACAGAAATCAATTAATTGAAAACACATTCATATGTTTACTGCTTTGCAAAATACTCCAGCCCTTGATTTCACTGTGCGTAATTGTTTCATGCATGCAAATTATTATTCTGGCTTGATTGTACAGATATAGAACATTCTCTTAGCTAAGTGCCAACACTGAAGGCTGGCTGCACCCTGGAGAAAGGATTAAAAACATGCATGGCTTGAGTCAACATCCCAGTCTTAAATAGTGGCTTTCAAACTTCCTACCCTGAGGGTACTCTTTCCATATAGTTTAATCGGCCCAGAAATGCCTTTGCATTGGTCATAAAGTCGGCACATGGCATAGGATTCTGGAGTTTACTCTAGGGCACACAATGTAGTTGTTCTCCAAACCTGGCCTTTTTGTATGAGGGTCTGACCTAGCCTTGCCTGTTACACCTAGGGGTTGCTTTGCACAAACTGAGGGAAGAATCCTAGAATGCTCCCTAATGCTTTTCTGAACATGGGAAGAGTTGTAACACTAGACAACCTCTCTGATGTCTGCTCTGACTGATATTCTAATCAAAGCACCCCAGCTCATAAATGGGCCAAACCATACCTTTACAGACTCCTGTTAGAAGAGGGAATTCTCTAACTACTAAAGAAATCTGATTTACTCAGCGGGAGCTTTTAGTAGCTCCCATAGTTTGCAAATTCTTTTGCTTTGTTTGTGATTGATCTTCTGGACATATAGGTGGGCTTCTTCTTTCTTTGGGAGATTGACTGATGCCTTGAGGCTAACCACTTGTGCTAGAGTATCTCTGGCAGGTTAGAGTTAGATGGGCTGGCTTGGGATGCAGTGTTCCGGAACATGCCACACCTCCCCCCCTTAGTACTTCTGTGTAGATGCTACAAATCTTAAGATAAGGCTGCTTGCCGGAACATCTGATTTCCTTAGTCTTCCTTAATCTTAAGCTCAAAAAACTTCTTTTAAAAAGTAGATTTCTTAGAACGCCCCCCCCCCGCCGCCGCCGCTCTTCTCTGTTCTCTGGGCTAATGCACAGATAGAAGCCTCTGTAGATAGCTAATGTTTCTTTAGTAACCACAATACTGTATTCCAAAATGAGGGGGAAAGGGGAGAAAACTCTTTATCAACCATTGCCGTGTTTTGCTCATATCAGCTTTTGTATTCAGCTACAGTAAGAGACAGACCACAAGTTATGGAACCAGACTATCTTTACAAAATCCAATTCAGGACATAGAAGAAAGCCTAGAGGGTTAGGATGTGCAAACACAGTGGCAAAGCCAAGGAAGGTAAGTATAGAATCAGCATACAATTAAAAACATGCATAATAGTTGCATGCATTCATTGGACATTCTGTTGTTACTGTTAGTCCTGCAGTGATTCCTGCCCCACAGCCCACATTTGGGGTTCAAATGCCTAGTCTTCACTATCTCTTATATCAAATAATAAATAAAATCTTAATCCTATTAAGAACAGCCTCTGCTATTTCTCTTTTTCTTGTGGCTGAAGACAGATGTAACAAAACTAGAGATAATTTGCTACTGTTTTCTCTGCCACAAAAGAGCACACATTTTTTACTTTCTTGTTGTGGGTCTTGGCCAAATTGTCTTCCAGTTCCAGAAATGTATGGTTGCACTTTTTGGCTGGTGACCATGGCATAAACAAAGACAAGAATCATATTTACTCCTTGACTATCCATTGCAAATAACTTTTAAAAGTATGTTTTTAACACAAATTCTGGGAGATGAAGGAGAAAATCCCTTTGGATGTTAGACTTTTCTGGATCCTAACATAAAGCAAACAGATGGTGTGTATTTCATTTATCTGGATTCTGAACCTTATAATAATTACCACTAAGACTGTCAACCATGAAAAGATATCTAACATAAAGAACTGAGAGAGAGAGAAAAAAAGGAGACAATTATAAGATTTCTCTCCAGGTAAAAAGAACTAGGCAGGTCACTTAGCTGCCACAGGTTTCAAATCATAAGAAAAATTATCAGATGAAAGTGCTGTTTACATTATGCAGAAAATAAGAAAACAAGAGGGACATATTTTGTACTGTAATATCTTAGAATAAAGGAAAAGGAGAAGCAGTGAAAGGTAGAAAGAGAAGCTATCAGAACTTTGTTCCTGACACAGAATATGAATCAGTCAAAATTAAGTACTTTCCAGATCCAATGATTATAATGGGAGGTACTTGAAAAGTATGCTACTTTTCCACTGACATGCATGGGCTTCTGTGTGCTTAAATTTGGATGGATGATTACCTGATATAGGTGTGTCACCTATTTTTTAAATCAGTCACGCACCTCCAGCATTAGGCATCTTCCCCAGGTGTCCTCTTCATTTTGAGGTGCACTAGAACATAGGTTGATCTAGGCTGGTCTTTCACAAGCTGGTACCATCACAGGTTGGTGAAAGGTACTAGGCTGGGAACATCTGATGTAGGTATACCTTGGGAGGAAGGTTCCGAACCTTGGGTCCCCAGACTTTTTTTTGGATAAAACTCCTAGAAGCCTTCACTACAAGCTGTGTTGACCAGGAGTTCTGGGAGCTGTAGTCCAAGAACATCTGGGGACCAAAACTGGGAAGTACTCCTCTAAAGACTAGCCAAAAAACTTCCCTGTGACATTTGTAAGTGCAAGAAACTTTATGTGGGGGAGCTTTTGGACATTTGACACTCCCATAGATCTAAAATGCCACAGCACCAGCAACAGATTATCTCTAGTCCAAGAACATCTGGGGACCAAAACTGGGAAGTACTGCTCTAAAGACTAGCCTAAAAAACTTCTCTGTGACATTTGTAAGTGCAAGAAACACTTTATGTGGGGGAGCTTTTGGACATTTGACACTCCCATAGATCTAAAATGCCACAGCACCAGCAACAGATTATCATATGGGGCATCTGTTTCAAATAAGCCTTAGTGTGGTAAAAGCCAAATAAACCAGAACAAAGGAGAGAAATTGGAAATATATTTATTTAGCTGACATTTATCTATTTTATGGAATAATCATTAATCAGTGGGGCTGTTTTATGTTATCAAAAGAGCGTTAAGGGAATGCTATTGCAATTTTCTGTTGTTTGTTCCCCTAAATCATAACCTTGTTCTTTGGCAGAATATTATAAAACAGACTCCAACAAAACTATAGTTTTTGCAAGAAGCTGTTTGGCAGCGGGTGTTAGAAGCTGCAGGATTTACAAAGTGATATACTTGTGAATTATGTAGGCACAATGGAAAAAACAGGTGCTCATCCGTGTATTTCAGGAAACTCCTGTTATGTCACGAGAAATCACATTGTTCTACAAGGTAGAATATCATACAGTGGTTATGGAATCTGGAGAAAACTAATTCCATAATAGTTCCAGGCCTCACTATACATCATGAACAGGTCAGTACTGGGATCTCTCTAGGGTAATATCTTTGTCACGGTGCAACTGATTTTAAATCTGCTAGGTGCTTCTGCTTAGGGGGCTTGATCTAAAACAACAGCTTCAGCCTCTTAAAATGATAAATATGTTGAAGCCTTTTACAGCATATTTGCTGGCTCTTGTATACATCTGGAAGAGTTTTATTGAACTTCAGTGTGGATACAATATACCTCTAAGTAGCAGATCCTGGGGACACAGAACAGTGGAAGGACATTACCTCTATGCCTTGCTTTGGAGCAGCCAGAGTTGTCTGGGAAAAAGCATGCTAAATTAGATGGGCAGGTGCTGTAAGCAAAAACACAGCTCTCACTATTCTATATCATACAGAACAGGAGACTTATGAAGGAAACATGAAGTTGCCTTATATTAAAACAGATTATTGACCCATCTAATCAAGACATTGGAGAAATTACTTTTTGGACTACAATTCCCAGAACTGACTCTCAGTGTTGCCAATAACTATGGTATTATGGGACTTATAGTTTGGTTCAAAAAAAAAAAAGCAAGTCTTCCATACTGTGTTTAATATCCTTGTGACAGGGAAAGCATTATGCAAGGGAGTCCAACAACTCCTTGCAAGAGCAGAACACCCCCGTTTAAAGCAAGGGGCAACCACAGCTTATATAACTACAAGACAACAAGGCTTAGGAATAGTGCTCTGCCTGCAGAAGGCCTGCACAAAACAACAGGATTCCGACCTATTTAGGCTAGTAATTGTCTCTACAGTAAACAGCAGCAGTCGTCCAAAAGCCCCCAACAGAAGCCGTACCTGGCCCTGTTATCTTTTAATCTAGGTGTGCACAACATTCCACTCTTCATATATAGTTGTCCTGCAACTGGTTATGCTTTCTGGGACTGATGGAAATTACAGTCCTACAGCATCTGGTGGGCCACAGGTTGCACCACCTTGCTTTAAGCAGATGGCAACACTGAATCTGAAACTTCTGGCATCAAGAGCTCATGTTTTGCTGAAGAGCTCTGGCAGAAGTGGGCAAAGGGCAGCCTTCTAGATAGAGGCCTAGCCGGCAGAGGAATGCTGGGAGGTGGAGCCCAACAAGATCAGGAGGGCCATGAGCTGTTCAAATGAATGCGAGTGACAGAGTGTCATCAAAGAAGCATGGCTCTGTACCATCTAGAGATCATGTACACTGATCAGATGCAATTTTTAGTGAGCGGGATGGGGTGGGTGATCACCTACTGTAGTGCCTCTCATGGGCCTTTTATCAGCCTTGTTCACAAAGCTCAGCCCTTTCCTCCTTGCTAGAACAACATACTACAGCCCTTGGTGTAGTAAGCATTAATAATAATTGTACTTACATATGGAGCCCTTCCTTTCAGAGGTTAATGGTGTATTTTGCAAAACATGCTAACTATAGAAATGTAAAAAGAAGATCTTCCAAAGGGAATTTCTGGCATTCCGTTTGTTTTTAAAATATTGCTTGGGATACTGGAGAAAGACAGTGAGGGAAGACGTACACATGATTTGTACTGTGCTCTAGGTTTTGGCTTTCGACCAAAGGAAGGAGATGCATGTTCTCAATGTTGGGAGAAAATATCACAATCTCTCTGAAGAGAAAAGGTCCTTCTCTCCCCTTTAGGACAAGGCCTGAAATCCTGGGGAGAGGAAGGAGAGGCCCAACACACTTCCACTCCTGTCCCTTCTCTGGAGTGCTCCCCCAACCACCAGAAGTGGACGGCTTGTAAACCACCAGCAAAGCGCAACACAGGATGACAACAGACTACAAATGAGCACCAACACATTAAGTGAGAAATGCAGATGCTCAGTGCTGTTATGCCATGATAATAAACTGGAAGTTCTTTCCCTCAGAAGATTCAAATATGGCTAGCCTGATCTGTGACAAAGTATGGCGAGTTGGTGACTCAATGTCCTCCCCAGGATTTGAAGTCTCAGAAGCTCCAGCCAGCACAGTAAATGATCCTTGTTCACAGAATTTTTACCTGAAATCACCAGGAGGGAACAGACTGCTTACTTTAGCAAATATAACTTACATAAACTTTCTGACACTCTAAAGCCAGCACATGATGATTAATGTGCAGTGGCCAGTCCTGCACATATTCCAGCATGGATCAAAAACTGAAGTTCACCTTCTCCTAAGTAAGACTTTTCAGGAGACATTGAGCCCAGATCTAAACTCTAGTCCATGTGCCACAGAAGTATCAGTGTGTTTAAGAGACCACTCACAACACCATGAGGATAATCAGGTGATGCCCTCATACAGTCAATGTGGTTGCATAAATACCTCCTAACAAATTACAGGTAAGATCCAGTTTACCAGTCCTCCTCAATGAATCCCACTTCACACCTATGGGTGTATACATGGATAGAGGCAAACAAAAGTGTGCCTTTGTGTGAAGTATTTTGTGATGATCACCCATTTAGCTTGATGGATCAAATTCTTTCTGAAAGAAGGCACTGCCTTGAATGGTGTGGGCATATTTCATTGATACAGAGAGATAAGCTTAAGGAAGGAAGAATGCAACAGGAACAACTGGGATGGAGCTTATATATGATGTACAGAGTACGACGGAAAGTGACAGGCTAAAGAAACTATCAGCCATAGCTTTCTTATCATCTCAGATTGCAGAATGCCACTACTGTTATCCTTTAATACTCAAAGGCCATCCTTTCCTGTGGGTACAGAGCATCTACTCAGAATTAGGCCACTGCAGAGTAAATCTTCATGTGACTGGTAGGGAACGAAACCTTGTTCTTGCCTCATGTTCCACAACAAGAGAGCGGAGGAAATCTGCTAATTTTCACCCTCACTAGAAGATCCAGACAAGTTTGCAACCCACAGTTAGGAACTAAGGAATAATATATATAACAAACATTTGCAATCATCTCGGTTTGAAAGGTTAATGCAAAATTCTATGTACTCTCTAGCCCTGAACAAAATAAACACAGCTAAAAATATGAAAAATGAAAACAAAAAGTAATAATGCTTGGAAATTAATGCTAATTAAATAATCCAGTTGAAACCTTTAGTTAATGAAACAAAGCATGTACTGTTACCTACAGTGAGAACAGAATAAATCACTGAGGAACTAACATGAGTGTCCTTCAGTTAGAACATTTCTAGATTTGCTGACCCAGCACCAGATATTGTTAGATCTGTTCCCCAGCCCCTAGCCCTCCCCTGAAGTTTGTGACAAATGCAAACATTTCAGAATTGCAGTATAAAATATGGCCATTTTAAAAAAAGCTTCATTCCTTTTAGTCCTTCGCCGACTTTGTAATGCAGGATGAAATCACCCAGGAGAAGGTTAGCTTGCCTGCCTCCTTGCCCACCTGGGCACCTTCCCCCATCTCTGACGTCTTCCTGAGGTTGGGGGAAGGGTCTGGATTACTTGCTCCCCGTGTGCACTGTTGTGACTGTGGTCTGCCTTGGTCTCCTCTCTCCTACAGCTGAGATGCCAGTTGATGCTGATGATGCAAAACTACAGAGAGTGGATGGGGACATACCTGAAAGGGAAGAAACAGAAAACAAGAGTTATCACGGAGTAAACAGAGAGACTGTATAGTGAAATTGTTAACAGCTAGGACTTCGATCAATTGCATTCGTAATTAAATCTCCACTTAACAAAGAACTAAACTTTAGGATAAACTTGGGAGTACTGCCAAAAATGGCACTCCTGTATTAAGCTCCTTTCTTATACTGTAATCCCCTTCTACTGTACCCTACCTCATCCTCTGAAGAAATTACTGAACCAGTGTTGTGGACTGGGGATACGGAAATGGAACATACAATGATGTCAGGACGTTGGGCAATGTAGCGAACAGCCCTGTCCTCACCTGTCCGTCACAGCTGAGCAGTGGAGAAAGAGCCAATGAGTGGACGGAAGGTGGTGCCAAGGGGGTGGGGGCTGGATATAAAGGCTGGTGTATGGAGCCTGTGTGAGAGATTCTGTGAGTAACAGTGTGAAACTTAAGTGTACTAAGAGTGAGTTAGAGATCTGTAAGAACGCTGAATGGAACAGAGAGTTGACAGAGCTTTAAAGTTAAAGTAGAATTGATTCTAATAAAAGTGATTAGCAACCTGTGATTTACCTACTGTATATTAATCAGATGTTAACTTCCCTGATCAAATAAATGAGTTAAGTTTCAAAAGTACACGTCTCCTTGAGTGACTGGTATTGAGACAGCAATACCTGGTGGCAGCGAAGAAAGAAGAGTGAGAACCTCGTGAAGGCCTGAGGGAATAGGGGCTTCAGAGCAGATCGCCACAGGCAAGTTCTACTCGAAGTTACCAGTGCAGACAAGGAGGCTGATATCACACAGACCCACCATTTTTTGATGGCACTTCCATAGATATATCTCTGCCCTCATTCAGGAAGCTGACTGGGCCAGAAATTGCCTCAGTCTACTTTATCCAATAGGGTCACATTGTAGCTGAACTGGGGTATCTCAGGGTAACCTATCTTGTTTCTTGGAGGAAAGGTGGCATAAGACTGTGATCTTATGAATTCTACAATTATGGCAACATTCCTATTATCTCAAAGAGTCAAGAGAAGAATGGAAAGAAAAGTCTGGTTTCCAGCCAAACCATTCCTCACAAGCACTGTCTCTCAAACAAATGTAAGAAAGAATTGGAATGACAGTCCGCATGTCTTGCTCATTCTCTCAGCAGCTGTGGATTCAGTGGGGCATATTCTCCCCACCTGCGCCACAACCAGCTTCCCTGCAGAGACTCAGGCAATGCATACATTCCTCACAAAGCAAACCAATTAGTGCATAAAACACTGTGTTTTCTTGCATGATGGCAGTACTGCAGCTTGCTCTGGAAGAGAGCGTGATCTCACATTTTATTATAAATACACTGAATACACTGTTTGCTTTTTTTAAAAAAACTTTTGCTAACTGTATTCATGAAAGAAACCTTCATTTTGTGCAACAAATGGAAAGTCTTTTAACTTTTGCACCATGAGATTCAGAATCTTTGGCATTGACGTGGCCAAAATCTGGCAGTATTTGCTTTTGTTTCAAATTTTGTAAACTGCTCTATAGACTTTGCTAATTTGTGGCATATAATTTTTTTATACAATAAATAAAATATTTTAGATAGCTGGATTTGAGTATTACATATGGCTCAAATTAAGATGTCCAAGGACACTTCCACACAGAATACTCTTCAAGGGCTTAACCATACTCCTTAATTTGAGGATCTGATTTGTGTGTCCGGTGTTCCTTATCCCTGCCATCCACGTTTTCTTCAGGCTTCAACCTTGTTTTTTGTCATTCACCTTAACAATGTCATTTATCTGCAGGACCAACTTATGGGAGTACAGTGTATATGGAACACTCACTATACCCACCAGAGAAAGACAAGTAGAACTGATTTCAAACTGAGTAGGAAGTATCTGAAGAATCTACATGTAAAGTACAATCCTTTGTGTATCTACGTATAAGCCCCATTCAGTTGGATGTTCAACTGGTGTGAAGCATACTTGAGCAAATTTAAGCAAGGTCCATTGTCCTCCTTGAATTCAGAATATTCTCTAAAATATACACTGTACTTTGCTGCATCTGTACAGTAAATGTCAGGGGCATATCAGAAGTGGGGGAAAAAGCAGGCTCTTGCTTGCTCTTTGTCATAAATCGTCTCATTGAGAAATTCTGATGAGCTTCCCAGAAGACCGGATTCAGATAATAGTTTGAGGGCTTCTGAGTAATAGCAAACATGGAGAAAAAGAATTCAACCATCTCAAAACCCGATTTATTTGGGCTCCCTCATGCAATGTTCATTTCAAATAATTTTGGCAGTGAGGAGCTCACTGAAGATGATGAGCAGAGCAATGTTTTAATATGAAATGTTTTGGAGTCTTTGCAGTTCTTAGTGAAACTGTTCATCCTTACGTTATAGTCAGAGATAATGTACAGGCTTGGATAATTAGTCATACCTCAGCCTTCTGGTATCAAGCTCCATTAGTGTAACTGGGCACTGGCAACATTTTAAATTATATTTGCTTTTGTCCTCATTCTCCCCTACTGTATCTTTTGGCAAACACTATTATCCTCATTTTAGCATAGTGCAATTATTCCAGAGGAGGGGAAAGAAGCACTTTCCCTTACAGTTACAGTGATGGCTAGGATTCTCTCCTGAGGTTTTATTTAGATGCTGCATTCCAAATTGGAATAAATCTTCAGGTATCTATGGCAGAAGCTCCCTACAGGACTGAGTTGTTGACAACATACCAGCACTGAATGTTTCAAGCTCCAAAGAGCAAGGAGCATTTGCAGATAAGAAGCATCCCATCATTCAGATACAAGTGGCAGCTGTGTGGTCCAAGTAGACCACCAGGGAGACACGTTGTGTTTTTTGTGAACAAAACAATTTGGCACTAGGTTGATTCACTCTGTTCTTGGAAACACAGGCCCTATAATACCTTTAAAAATATCATGGGAGAATAGAACATCACTGAGTCCTAGGGCACATGCTTTGAATGCAGAAAGCTGTGTTTCACTTGAATAGATCAGGTGAAAGCTGAAATGAAAAAACTCTTTCTCACACCCTATGGCAGTGGTCCCCAACCTTGGGTCTCCAGATGTTCTTGGACTGCAACTCCCAGAAGCCTTCACCATCTCCTCTGCTGGCCAGGATTTCTGTGAGCTGAAGTCCAAGAACATCTGGAGGCCCAAGGTTGGGGACCACTGCCCTAGGGAACAGCCCCAAGCCAAGCACTGCCATGCCATTCTTAACTCAAGCAATCTTGTCTGATTTCAGAATCCAAGCAGAACTGGGCCTGCTTCACACTTGTCTAGGAGGCATACTAGGGATCTCCAGGTAGGATTAGGACACAATCTTGCTTCAAACCCACAAAATCAACACTGACAGTCAGAGTTGATAATACTTGGCTAGAAAGATCAATGGTCTGACTCAATATAAAGCAGCTTCCTGTGTCACTGTAGACATAGATGAGCTGAGATGGGCATACCGTCTTATAAGTCAAAGCGAAGTGTGGTGCTAATATGCTGCCCAATGGTGCTTACAGCTCTCTCTGGGCAGTTTACAATTTAATTATATAGGCTCCACATTGCCCCCAAGCCAGCTGGGCATTCAATTTACTGCCCTTGAAAGGATGGAGAGCTGAGCCAACTTTGAGCCAGTTGCCTAAGCTCAGGATTGAACCCAGGTCATGAGCAGAGTCTTCACTGCAGTACTGCAGTGTAACCACTACATCACAAGGCTCCTTGTCAGCATCCCATGCTCGTCAACATCTCAGCTATTGTCATGAATGCTCTGACCACTGCAACTGGTCCTATACTATGGAACTGGCACCCTCATGGTGACAATGTTTGCTTGTTGCACTCTTCAGCTACCTTTCCTACTTAATCACTATCTCCCAGTTATTACAGCTAGACCCAATGGGAAAATCCCTGGCCAAGCCAGTAGGCAGAGAGGAAGTTACACACACTGAGAGGCAACACATGGGTGTATACAGTACCTTCCACTCTGTTCACATGATGCATGCTGGTACTCTTTCATTTTAGCCTTGGAGCAAGCAGTGAGCAAGAACAAGGTGGAATAGCAATTGTTAGGTGTCACAGCACAGACTTGTGTGTGGCCCATGATTACTCCAGCACCCTCTAAGCTAGCCTTGGCGCTCAGGTGTACCCAAGGATCTAGTCTGAAGTAAGATTCAGTCCAGTTACTTGTGTATGAGGACTGGGTAATGTTGGTGCTTTTTGTACTTTGTCTTTGTGATAAACCCTATCTTTCTTTCTCTTTTCTAGAAATATATCTGAACAAAGAACAACTCTGTGTATGGCCAAACATCTTAAAAATACATGAAAGCTGTTCATCTGCATATGCAGGGCTCATGGCCCTTTCACAGTTACGTAGAAGATTGGGTTGAATTAGGCCTAACTTGCATGACAAACTTCTTCGCACAATGACCAAATGTTCAGCAGCTCTATCCTCTTCTGCACCTGGCTGTCTGGATATTCATAGATTGCATTAGGCTTGGTGGTGGTTTATCAGACATGCAGGGTAGTGCTAATATGAAGCATGGAACTTTTCCTTTTCTTGATCCTGTCCCATCAGAGGCTGAACATCATCACTGCTATTTTGACTTTGGATGTGATAGCAGTAAATAATGTTCTGTTGCATCTAAACAATTAAGGAACTTATTAACGTGTTCCTTAGCCAATAAGCTCACTTCCTTCCAGCACTTCTTTCCTTATTTAATTTACCCTGAATTATCAATCTGTACCTTTTGTTTCACACTATACAACTAAATTATTCCAGATTTTTGCATTTTATATGTTATGTGATTTGTCTCTATACTCTTGCTTTAGTAGTTTATTAGTCACCCTCGCAATCCAAGAGATTCTTACCATCCTGCAATAAATCCATGGCCGAAATTAATTAGCAGTGAATTGGGAAAAATTAAGAAATCTCTGTCCGCATATGTTGCATGCCAAGCCTTGTGAGTCTGTATGCAGCAGATAATGTCTACAGAGATTTCTTAACGTATGACAGTTTGCCACTAAAAACTATGCTTTTTGCATAAATTTGGGTAGTGTGGGTGGCATATAAGTTAAATAAAATAAAATAAAAAAATAAACAACGGTGCAACAGGATTTTGCCCTTATTTCAAATGATTTCATTTTTTATGGTTGCCTGTGTTAAAGTCTGTGATTCCATGCCATGTTATAGAACTGAGAATTATTAGAACCATGCAGTTTGCATCCTCAAGCCAAATGATGTTGTATTCTCCATTTTATGGAAGCTGCTCCAGGCCATCTCTATTCTGACTTCTATCACATATGATCCCACTGTTTCTTCAACAAAATTTCAAGGTACAAAATTTCTTTAAGTACTTCAATGCATTTGATTGATGCACTCCACAGTTTCATTTTGAATTACTAATTGCAATCTTGGGCCTGCTTTCTTTTTAAGTATTACCTTGAATTTGATTTTCTCAGCTATAACTTTTAGCCTGTATTGATTTTATCAAGTAATTTTTATAGACCATCTACATTATCATCTAGTAATAGTGTGTTGTTTTTATACTGGATGCTGTTGAGAACCTTTCCACTGAGAATAATATCATTATTAAAATCATAAAGGGTTCTTAAATTACAAAGTGAACAACAAGAGTGAGAGTATATATAATTATTATTGTACTCCTTTTTTTGTATCTCTTGTCCTCTGTCATCTAATCTTCAGCTTTCATGCAGCTTTTAACTGCCAATTATATGAATATATCTGGTATAAAAGGCCTTTGATTACCAACAACATCATCAACGTGTGTGCTGGATTTTATCACAGAGTTTCTTGTACCCAATAAAATAACCAACTTCCCCTTGTATGTTTACTTGCCTAGTTTAAACTGAATGGTATAGGACGGAGTATTTTATTCATAGTTGGCTATAAGAAGGACTTCATTCACTACTGACCTACATTCTTGCCAGCTTGAGCCCTTTTTGAAGGAGACTATGAAACATCAGATTCAGAATCAAATATGTTACATCATCCTATCAAGTTTGATTAGCAAAATTCTGACAGGAGGAAGACTGGATGGGAAAGTTTTAACCTAAGTAGACTGCTGTTGATAGGGAATTTGTTTGTAAGAGCACATAACTGACAGACAAGGCTTCCAAATAAATCTTGATGGCCAGATGGCAGTTATTTACTCACAGTCTTTCCTGGCTGTTCCGTCAGGTAAAGGTTTGGCCAAACTGAGGGAGCTTGATACGCTTACATTTGAACTGTCCAAACTGCTGCCAAGATGTAACCTTCTCATGTGTCTCACAACTGCTGTAGCATTAAAAGCTTGCTGAAAAAGGAAATAGAAAAAGAAAGAAATGGCTGTTGGAGATTTGCATTGCCTTTGACATTTGAAGAAAGAAAATGAGTGGTACTTCTACAAAGCATTACAGTCATCAAACTAAATGAACTCCTTCATCAGCTCTAGCATCTTGCTTCCTACCAAGTCATTCGGAGACAACCATTTTTCTTTCTTTCTTTCTTTCTTTCTTTCTTTCTTTCTTTCTTTCTTTCTTTCTTTCTTTCTTTCTTTCTTTCTTTCTTTCTTTCTTTCTTTCTTTCTTTCTTTCTTTCTTTCTTTAAGGATAGGATAGACTGCTAATTTCCACACTATTGTCTCATTTTGAGAACATTACACTTTTGTACATATGTTTTATCAAATATTTCACACTGAAATGCTAAACAGCTGAGGGTTTAAGATGAGGTGAGCCACATTCAGCCACCAAGAGGCCCAAATGTTCCTCTCCAGATCTCTGGAGCCATCCAGGGTTCCACACCTCAAAATACCTCCTCCTGCTAAGATTCCGTGGAAATCAAGGGGATTGGTTCTTTTCAATTGAATGAAGTGACTTTGCTTTTATTACTGCATGGTTTAAACTTCACTTACTTAAACTGGGTTATGGGTAATGTCAAATATTTGCTTTAGCAATTAAATCGACACAATTGGAGGATATAACTTTTGGATTTACAGAACTGGAATTATGCTTCAATAGGAGGAAGGGAAAGAGTAGAAGATCCTTTCCCCTCTCCCCCAGCAGCAAAGCAGAAACAAGAAGGAGAGGATGGAAAACCATTATCAGTCCCTTATCTCTGAAAACTGGTTCTGGGGACCTGTTCAACAGCATTTTTTCACAGAAGAATAGCATCATTCTGCAAAGCTAAACTTTGCAATTGAAAAAAAACCACATTCATTTAAGAAGGCTGGGGAAGTCTTCATATTCAGCTCCATAACACATACTTCCTTAGAAAGGTAAAAGCCAGCTCTTGCAACCAACTGAGAATATGATAACTTACCCTCCATTTGCTTTTTGCAAAATTCTTGCGTATCTGAGCACTGACAGATTCATGGATATTTTTATTGAGGGCGGTGTCTCCAGCAATCCTAAAAGAAGGAAAAAGAAGGCCAAGGAGATATTTGACTGGTGATTCATTTATAGAGATCTCATTTTCCCTGTCCTTCATTCTACATGCAGGATAGGCAACTGTAGCCCAACAGAAGTTGTTACCAGTGCTTGGAACATGAGATCTGAAAAACTGATGTGTTAGCATGAAACATTGGAAACTAGGAAATTAACTTGTGCTAGTAATGATTAAATTCAGAATGCTGAATTAATGTTGATGTTAATGTTACCAATGTGATAATTAAAATGTTAGTTCTATGTGCTCTCTGCAGGGCTGTGTCACACCACACAACCCCTTCTCAAAGGAAAAGGCTGCAGTTGAAAAACATACAAAGAAGGGCACCATTCCCCCCCTGAGAAATTAGTTCAAGTTTTAAACACTGACTTCCTAGAATGATAGAATGCCAATAATTATTACCAAAGAAACATGAACGTAAACCTTATTTCCTTTTTTTTACTTGGAAAATGTACCTCTTCTTCCTAATAGTTTGAGCTCAACAAAGCTCTGTGCAGACCCTGGCGTTCAGCAAGTTGGTGCTGCTGACTAAGCTAAAAAATGCCCCCTGAACCTGATGAAACCATTCACTTCTGTTCTAAGGCCAATGGTATTTGCCACCCAAAGACAGTAGAATTTACTTCCCCTCCCTCTCCTGTTGCAGCCCAGTTTTTTGCTGAAAAGCCTGCTCCAGAGGGGTTTACTAAGAGTCCCTCACTGTTGGCTCATATTCACCTTGCAATCTACAACAATTATAACATCCTTCTCACTCATGATATTACTGAGCCAAGTATCCCACATCTTGTAACTGTGTGTTTGGTTCCCCCACCCGTAGAACTTTGAACTCATCCACGTTAATTTTCACTCAGTTTTTTTCAACCCAGTGCTTTAGCTTATTAAGATATTTTTGAATTTTGTTTGTCTTCTAGGGTATTATCTATCCCACCCACTGTTTTACTGTTTCTAACTGCTATTATCCACCTTGGATACAATGAATAACTCTTGAACAAATGCAGATATTCCTACTGTTTTCATTTTGGATGGGGCCCCATGTCCTCAGCTTATTTACTTGCTATTTTCTTTTCCTTTCATAAGAAGTGGAATCAATGCTTCCTACTGGATTAAAAAGCTGGCTGGTGGAAGCTTTCCCATCTCTGTTTCTAAACTGAGGAAAGTCTCCACCTGCTCATTTTCTCCTAGTCATCTTTCTGTTAAAAGCATTGGGACTCTGTCAAGAAAATGGATTTCAAGGCCCTTTTTGAAATTCAAATATATATATTTTTGACCTAACTTTTAAGCTCAACTGGCTGGCTTGCAATTCATCTTCCTGCCTCAAGACATACAATCATTTCAAGACCACTCAAGGGCTGTTTGTGTTGGAGAGGCTCTTTCAGCACAGCAGGGAACTAACCATGCATAGCTTTTACTCAAAACTAGTAATGGACATTTGCTGTTTTACCAGAGAAGCACAGGCTGCACAAGATAACTCAGCCTGAACAGAATGTTCTCTTACCACATTCCAGCATGCATTATATCAATGGTATAATCCATGCAAATAGACAAATTGAAGCCTTGTGTGTGATTGTTATGGCATTCTAGATCAATGAAATTGAGACGCACACATTCAAACCTGGGAAAAATAGCTGAGAAATGGGAATGAGGAAGATGGGAGACTGTTCTACCAGTCAACACACTAATGCAGCTCACAGTATTGTTGTCAGAAGCTTATCTATCTCTTCCTCAAAGCTTGGGACGTGATGTATGAGGGCGGTGGGGGGGGGGAAGCTCCTACTGCAATCATTAAAACTCTCAGCAGGCCTGGCACTAAAAATGCCTTAGATTACTAAGATACCTCTTCCTTCTTCCTTCTCTAAAACTTAAATTAGGCAAGGGATATTTTAAAAAAAAAGGGGGGGGAGGGAGGCAGGTCCCAACATTGTGGGTATCTCTCGTTTTCAAAGCCCTTCTTACTAAAATGCTTCTTGCACTTTAGCTCCTTTTGGGCTGATCTTCCAGAACTCTTGGGTTTTCCTTTTCACTGTATCTGAAATGGTATGGCCAAATACCAGTATTCTGACCCATGACTGTAATTTCTCAGGTCTGCTTCAAGCAGACACACTCAGAAATAACACTTACATGAATACATCAAAACCAAATCTATGGCACTTATCAACTGCAAGCTTAGAGTGAAAATGGCTGGCCTTTGGTGGACAGTGGAATTGTCCCTCTCCTTGCTGAGTGGTTGAACTGGAGCCCTCTGCTTCAATACATAAGGAAGGGGGGAAATATGAAGCGACTGTGGGAGGAGAAGATGATATGGGCCATGGTCTTCCAGTTCTTGAGAGCTCGAAGTTGTATTGTAATAATTATATTTAGCATCTCTGGGTCACAACTTAACAAGCGGGGTTTTTGATTATTAATCCGTGTGCTCCTCCTTTGAACCATGAATTTGAATGCCACTAGGAGCTTAAAATCCAAATGACAGATAAACTGACAGTTCACTGCCCAGAATCTACAAGCAGTGGTGGCTAAAACTTCACAGGCAGAGCTCCGATTCAGCACGGGTCTTCGTATATACACAGAGGGTCAATAAAGGACCTATCTGTGAGGGTTCAAGCTTTACCTCCCTGGTGTCCAACTGAGACTCTGGAGGCACATCTGTTGTAAAATCATAACTAGTTTTTATTGGAACATTTAACAATAAATCTTGCTGTGTGACCTTAGTTTCCATTTTTTCTCTCGTCGCCAATGGGTCCGGCGAGGGCATCCAAACATCTTTAACAAAGGGGTTGTTAATCAGCTTGTCCCAGGGTCCCCTCATAAATGGGTTACTGTCCTCAAAGTCATGGACCATAGTCTCAGGGTTCAATAGTGGGGTGGTCTCGTCATCTCGGTTGTCCGCTTCGTAGGCATCCTCCTCTCCTCGTAGAGGGGTCCAGGGTCCAATAGGTAGCCCTTCTTCCAGGGGTGTTCCCTCTCCTCTCGGGATACCACCTCCTTTTCTTCCTGGAGGCGTCTGTGCCACTCCCAAGCCTCAGACTCTCCCCAATACGAAGGACGTTGCCGCAGACCCTTTCGCCTCTGGTAGCCTGCGTCCTCCCAAGGAACCTTCACTGTTTCCCATTTACTGGTCCATGGGTTTTCCACCCATATCATCTCCCAACCCCCTGGTATCTGGTCAACATCTCCTTTTATATCCCCCATTCCTGCCTCACGGCAGACCTCCCCTTTTCCTCTCTTCCCGCCAATTTCCGTTTGTGTGGCCATTGTCATTTTCAAAAGTTCCCACTCCAACTCCCGGGTGTCAACTCCTCACTGTTTAGTTTTGATGGGCAGTGTAGGTGGGTTTGTCTATGCCTCCTGCTCTATTTTGAGCGAGGACAACACTCTAGCGAGAGCCTTTATACTCTCGTCTGGAGTCTCACACCATCCCATTCTGATTACTTAATAGAAGAGGATAAGGGTTTGCAGATCTGTCTCTGGAATTAAATTTCCTCTGCAAATCACAAGAACATAGACAGGAGGGGCCCTGGACACATGGTCACTTTGCCCAGGACAATAGAAAAGTCCAACAGAACCATGCAACACATGTAACACAGGCAGCACTTTATCTCCAAATATTCTTCTAAATCATTATTGATATATTGCAAGGAAAAATGTTAGAAATGTCTCTCAAAAGAGCATATCAGGTGTCTCGGCTCTTATCTTTATACCTTTGCACCTCTTTATTTTAATATACCTCTTTCAGGTATATTGGATTCCTTCCCCTTTATCCCTCTGTCTCCAGAGAGGAAAATAAATGCTGTTATTTCCCTGTAGTACACTACACAGTCGCATCGCAAGAACTGTCTGTTTTCCCTCTGTTCTTTTCATAAGTTGTCTTAGCTGAAATTTAATGTTATTTGTTGGTTCTATCAGAATCCTAAAACCTTTCCATTTAGTGAGAGATGAACTGTTTAATATCTGGTGAAAGACATGAGATTTGGTTGATTCTAGACTCTGCTCTTTTTAGTTTTATTTTTTCCTAACAATATTTTATTCTGTTTTACTCCTGATTATATGGAGCAGTCCTATGCTTGTTTACTCAGAAGTCACAATAAAATCAGTGGAACTTATTTTGTAGCAACTGGTTTTGTAGCAACTGGCAGTTCTGTGCAATTCTATGTAAGTTTCTGTGGAATTCATTCCCTCTGTGTTCGGTAAGAATTATTATTCACCAGCATGGTATAGTGGATAGAGTCACAAACTAGGATTCAGGAGGCGTAGGTTCAAATCCCTGCTCAGCCTTGGAATCTTACTCATGAAACCACTCCTTAAATATCTCACTTACCTTGAAAGCCCTATTAGGGTCGCTATAAACCAGTTCAGACTTGAAAGACCATAACAACATCAGCAGCAGCAACGACAAATATGTTTAGGATTGAAGGTGTAAATGTAATCCTGTGCCAATTTATTTCAGAGGAAGCCCCCAGAACAAATGCAGTGTTAGTCATCTGATTAGTCATCCATAAGATCCTTCTGTTAACATTTAAAGTCCTTTGTAAACCTCTTTGCACACATGCCACACATGTCTGCAATCAAGAATATAATAAATGTCTTTATAAGACAAAACTGATGACATAAACAGAACAAAGTTGTTGGATTGCCTTTTGGTTTGTGACTGGAACCTTCTTCATTGCCGAGTCACTGACCTGCTGGGTTACTGACCTTAACCAACCTGGCTGTCCAGATGACAACCTCAGTCTTTAAATGGGATCAAAAATGTCTCTGGTAATGGGGAGGTGTGTACAAAACAAGTGACATTAATTGTCACCTCATCTGGCAATTCCAACAGAGCAAAATGGTCACAGAAGAGTTTTCTGTATTTACTGGATGGGTAGCATGCTGATGCTCATCTCAGATGCCTAAAGGTTTTCAGAAGAGTCATGTTCTGTGGGTCAAGCCCACTGCGTATAAGAGAGGATGTTACAGACATAGCCCCTGCTT